GTTTCGTACTCTTGTTCTGTACTCGGTTACTTTGTCAACTACCAATAAATCGATTTCGAACGAATTACCCGTTTTCCTCTCTGTTCCCTTAAGATATAATTTATCATTAATTCATTAATCAAAGCCTATCAAAAGTCCACCGCTTAAAGTAGGGGGAATATTTGCCATAGTTTCGTCCTTCAGCATGTGGTTTGGCAACCACAATTTTTTATTATTTTAAGTTGTTATTAGGAAGATACTATAGCCTACCTCTTGTTTTATTTCCCTATGTCGTATTTTACGATACTTACGGGATGATATGGGTTCTTAGACGTTATAAATAATAATATATATTATTTAGTAGGGCTAGTGTTTTCTTTTACGCCGCCTCTTTACACGGCATTATCAAGATCCTGTCTTAACTTCATGATTTCGAAATATTTTCATGTAAACAGATAAAGCTTTGTTGAATACAGTCACTGGTTTTCCGCTAAGCAAGTAGTAAATCTGTATAAATTAAAATCAATTATCACCTGTATGAAAGATCATCACTTGAGAACGACTGGACCGATTTGGATGAACACCCACTCATACTCGCAATTGCACACGGTAAGTGGCACTGTTGTCGAGATCTAGAAAACAGTCTTGCGAAGACGGGGCGGATCAGTAGTCGACAAACAAAATTGGTACTATATCGTCAAGATTTACTGATTTAGTATTACTAACCATTAGTTTTTAAAGTTTGCGATACGAATATTTGCCATGTAATATAATAATCATCACTTAATTTAGAAAAAAAAAATACGTTCATATAATAATATGCCTAGTCCTATTTTCTTTATATTTTTAGACGTACTATAATAAAGTATTTAAAATAAATAACTATAAATCACTATAGATTAAAGACGTCACGTCTTGTAAAGTAACGTCACAATTACAATGGGGATGTAATTTATCTGGTAAATCAGAAGATACGAGTGTATTTACTATCATATTTGGCATAGTATAAAGAGACCAAACATGACCACTTTTTAATTTCCACGCCTGAATTACACGCAACATCTTTCAAAAGATTAATCTCTTTTTGCCTTATCTGAAAATTAAATTAGAAAAACCGAGACAAATATATTGACTCAATTTATGTAGTTGTAGGTTTTCTTTACGCATATGTTCATATGTTTCACGAAAGAATTCCTTTTGCTGTAATGTTGATAGTACGAAAATCACAAAAGCAAAGAAAAGCACAAAAAGTAATTTTTTTGACTTTTTTTGTTGTCAGTCAGCGAAGACGTAACTTCAAATTACAATCGTGATTCCTTTAAACACAATGTGTATTTTTTATACAGCATTATATTTCATTTATTTCATATATTCTACATTTTCAATTTATACAATTTATATATGTGCCGGTACTTTATCTTTACAATACCTATATTAATAAAAAATATAAAAATATTACACTCGATTACACATCGATTTGTTAACATTACCAGAGTTTGGGCCCAAAACATTAGTTGAGATAATATCCGATAGCCTAATTCCTTCATTCCAATAACTTGAGAAATTATTTGAATATTTTCTATTACTTTATTATATACATTCAAAATCCATACTATTATATTCCTTTCTTTCCCGAGACCTGTGTTCTAATTTCACACATCCATACTAAAACCTCAATTCTTTTAGAGCATGTCTGTGGCTCCCTTTTATAAATTTTAGCACTAGATAGTTATATCTTACATAAAAGGGTCTCGATCACATTACTATAAAAAGCATAACCAGTATATTTAACTATTTTTTTCTTACTTTGTATTTTTAACTCTTATAATTGAACCAACATTCTTAAAGAACCAAAAAAATTAACATAACCACTATTATGCATTGGTTGATCTACGAGTAGCTGCTTACAAACGTTTAAGATAATATTTTCATGTTCACAAAAGTATCGTACTACTTTAAAGTTTTGTATAACAAAATATAATTTATTTTATCAAATCTTTCTTTTTTTAATCAATAGAAATACATAATTTTAACCTAATAATAATTAATATAGTCAAGCGGAAAAGTTTTTTTTTGTTTGCATAGTAATCTCTGGAACTACCAGTCTGATTTGAATAATTATTTTTGTATATTATAGTCAAACTCATAAAGAATAGTATAGGCTATCCCTCTCAGCTAGCCTCAAATTTTGCATTTGCTAAAGAAGTCGGAAGAAAAAGCGCTTTCGAAATCGTTTGTTCGTGTGCGGTGGCGTAACTAGTGGCATAAATAAACAAGATAGCATAGCAACGTGGAAGGAAAAAGTTTAGTAATTTTTAAAGAAAATATTCTATTATTTACTTTAGTTACATTATATCTTGGCAGTAAAGTGGTAAACTTTTAAAATCTTTGAGGAAAGTAAACTTTGAATAAAAATAATCGATAATTAACAAAAAAATCATATTACGTGGGAGATTGCACGGAAACTATAAGTGATATCGCTTTTATATGTGTATGTATAAGAATTTAATAGCAAATGTGTAATATATATTATACATTTCGTATATCGTGTATGGTTTTCTTTAAAACTGGAATAAACCGCGCTTCGAGACACTTCCTTGAGCCGTGGAGGGGGTGGCGCTTATACCCGGGAGGTGGAGGGAGAGTGGATAAAATTTAGATTCGCTCTATAACCAATAGATAAAAGTGATCCATTAGTTTTGCCTATTTTTCCATACATTGCTATCTAAAATGCTTGAAATAGGTATCGTGCATAGACTTATTATACTACTGCGTATATCAATGGTATCATGTCATGTTGCGCGGCTCAGACGCGTGATATATGCGGATGAAACCGCGGTTCGCAGCTAGTCGGAGATAAAGTAAATGAAAAAGTTTAATACAGTATTTTGAAGACAAGTCAGGAGACAACAGTGGTATATATTATTGCACCATTCTATAATCGTAAACCTTTGGTATCATATTAATGTAAGATTCCGTTGCCATATAAAGCAAATGCAAAGGGTCGCGATGACATTGTTTAGAATTTGATGCTCTATATGTATATAAAGAAAACATGATATTACATTTCTCTGAATTCAATTTAATTAAAATAAATCTGTTAATGTTCTTTTGCGTTATTAAGTCAAGCTGTGTCTTAAATTAATAAAAAAAGATTATCAAAAAAAGGTGAATAAAAAGGTCATGGATAATAAAAATGGTTGAAATATAAAATTAAAATTACATATAAAATTTCGAGAAGTTTTACAACAATTGTATTGTTTTACAGAAATATGACATTTAATATATCTTCAGAAAATTATTTAAATATTACTATAAAAGATATCAAGTGTATACTAGAACATTAATTTATTTTAGTATTGAAATGGAAAATTTCATATTTTAAGTAGGTTATTATATTAACTTTAAGTTTCATAGCTTTTGGGAGGGAAAAAAATTAAAAATTATAATAAAAGCGAATTGTATAAAACCCTTTTCAAAATTGTATGGGTATATTTAATAAAATTTATTATAGAAAAAAGAAACACACACACACAGTAAAGAAAACTATCATCAGTGTCATTTTAACTACAAAACATGATAAATTTATTGATGATAAATCATGGTACTTAAATTTAATACGTAAAAATGCGAATCTACTATATTATTTCGTTCATTTTTACTGAAAACAGTAATAAAAATAATTTAAAAAAATAAATCAGTAACTGAATGAAAGTGAATATAAAATTGTCTTGTGTCTTAATAAAAATGCTACGTAAGTACCTAAAATGTGACTTAATTTATAATCATTATTTTATATCTTCTTTATAATTATTTTTTCAGAAAGTACAGTAATAAAAATAGTAAAACAAAACCAATTGAATCGTGAATTATTTGATAAATACTTAATTATAAGTTAAATAGACCACATTGAATACATAATTAAAAAAATATATAATAGTAAAAACAACATTAAATAAATGATTTAAAGGTTTAAATGAAATTAAAAATCAAACAGACGCGACGTTATCTCTTAATTTCTTCTATGCTCTTTTCGGCAAAATTTTCATATTCTTCTGGGCTAAGCTCGCTAGAGTACAACTGATATTTCTTTCTACATTCTACTTCTCATAATTTCTAAATTTGAAATGTTGATAATATTTCTTTCTTTTAAAATTTATTAGTAAATATGTATTATATATATTTTCTGTAAATTTCGTTCAAAAATAGTAATACTATGGCCTTTTCTTATATAATTATTTTTTTTCGTCACGTCCAGTATTGCGTCCATTCCGTTATTATATTATTTTTTTAAATGTCAATCCTCTCAATAAATTTTGCATAATTTAATTTTGTTTTCTTACAATATTTATATTTTTCTTTTCTTAAAAGATCTTTTGTGATCTTTCTTGAAAGGTTGTGAGTTCGAATCTGCCATTCGACTGCTGTACTTCTATTAAATATTTTTTATTTTATTTTAAAAATTAACAAACATATATATAAATAAAATTTACCATATTAAATAAAAATATGTTAATATACCAATCCATTTATACAAATTCACAATTTCATAACTTTAGGCCATCTAGAGTTTATTTTACGTTACGCACCTTGAGTCAATCAATTTTTGTTCGATAATATGACTTTACCTAATGGAATAAAGCTCTAACTACAAAGTAACTTTACTCGAAAGAAAATTTTCCATTGATTTTTTACACTCATAGAAAAAAAAATAAGGATTGTAATTGTGACCGGCCAAGCTATATCAAAGAACCTACAACCGATGGGAAAGAAAGGATTTTGGATGGTAGCTTCGTAACGGTAAGCGAAGTGTAGCCCTTCACTAGACGGAGTGACATACGAATGTGTTTTATTGAATTCGTTAGTGGAGGCCTTTGATGATGATGATGATGATGATGATGATGATGATGATGATGATGATAGTATAAAGAGTTATTCCCCATTCGCACACAAGATATCTTTCAATCATAGTAAAGCTTTGATCATAGCTTGTGCAATAAAATTTCATTGTTTTTGTTTAGGCATAGTCCATGAGGAAGTGGAACGGGAAAGCAGATGTCAGTCATCCACTAGCCACAACATAGATAACTCTGATATCGACGATGATATCTCTGTCGGTGATAATCGAAGTGAGGCGTCCACACCTCGAAAGAGGCGTTTTGGTTTCGAAGACGACTCCGACTTTTACCAGAAAAAAATTAATACTGAAGACAATGAAAGGTCGTCACCAACGGAATATAATTTAAATCGATTACAAAATTCTAGTTATAACTCGCCTTTCAAAGAAGAAGAAAATGAGTACGACCGTACTGAAGAATCTATGAAGTTGTACGACAACGGACTCTTTCATTTGTACAGAACAGAAAGAGATGGGAGTAAGGATGAGGCAAAGGAGTCTTTTGGAATGGCTGGGAGTCTTCCCGAGGGTATTTATGGCAGATCTATGGATCTATCCAAGAGTTCATTCCAGTCGCAGTTGCTGGCTGGGTTTGCGTCTGTGATGGCTGGAAGTTCGCAAAGGGAATCACAGGAGGCCGCAGGTAAGTTAATTGTAGGCTAATTGTGTTGGTACTATATATAATTTTTTAATATATTGATTGAGTTGGGGAATCTTTTTAATTTCTAAGCCCTCCGCTTGTTGCCTGCTTCGGAATCCTCGGTATCAACATATCGACCCATAGACACCGACATCTATTTTCAATTAAGGATCAAAATACAGTTGCGTTATCATCATTGCGGTCTATTAACTAATGTTTCATTACCAGTAAAAAGGCTTCAAGTTTCCAAACTTAACGTATAAACACAGCAACATTTGCTGTTATAGTTGGTATTCTTTAATAGTGTCGTCCATCTCCGGTGGAACTAATCCATCTCGACTGAAGTTATATTGGCTCTAAACATGTAGCAAATCTTATAATAATGTCCTTCAGACCGAAATTCGGTCACGGCGGCCAGTCTTAGCGGAGACTAGTCGTCTGCGCAGCAGAGGATTATAGTGCCCAAGTGTATGTGTAAGCACATATTCACTGTCTAGTGATTTCTTATATTCACGCGAACACTACACATTGAAATAATACTTAAATACCCGACGTTTCGAACGCTTTACAGCACCCATGGTCACGGGGAGGACTGAGATGTTCAACGTCCAGATGTCATAGTAAACCGCGGTTACCATAGATTAAAATTTAACTTTTTTTCCAATCTACATGTGCTGTAAAGCGCTCGAAACGTCGGGTATTTAAAAAGTTAAATATACGCGATAAAATCCGTAAAAACTAGTATTATTTCAATATTTCAATTCACTATCTAGTCCCTCATTCTCATAGTCCGATGGTACAGTAATCCGACACGACCGCAGATACTCGTAGACCAGCAGCAGGGTCTACGGATTTACGTGCTATTTTCCGAGATACGAGGGTGAAACACTGCCAACTTTCTAACTCCGGGCTGCTGCTGAGTGTTTCTTGACAGAGAAACCTAATAACTGATTTTGTCCTTACCCGGGATATGAACCCAGAATTTTGTCCTTATCCGAGAACCTAACGATCAGCAACCACTTTTCCAACCACTAGACCAACGAGACAATAGAAACATATCATTTTTGTTTATATTATGCAGACCGACAGCAACCTAAAGCTGCTACGCCAACAGCGGGTCGCAAGCCGCGTAGACGTCGCACAGCGTTCACACACGCGCAACTCGCTTACTTAGAGAGGAAGTTCCGCTGCCAGAAGTATCTTAGCGTGGCAGATCGTGGAGACGTAGCCGACGCACTAAGTCTCAGCGAGACGCAGGTGAAGACATGGTATCAAAACCGACGGTAGGTGTCCAATTTACTGCTTATAATGGTTTAAGATGTTTAATTAGCTAAGATCCGCGTAAAAAATAAAATGGCGTATAGTTCCTAGTCTTATTGACAGAGGCGCAGTGGCTTAGCAATAAGTTGTAGTGCTGCGGGCCGTGGGTTCGAACCTCGCACGGGACATGTGTTTGTACTCATTTCCTAAGAGGTGACAACACAAATGTAGATGTCGTTCGGTCGCAGAATCTGCTTACAACCAGGTGGACTATGTGCTCGTTTGTCAGCCTTATTCTATAAAAAAGAGAAGGTTCGGAAGCTATCAGTTACGCAGGCGATAATAAAGTACCTTATGTGTACTCATCTTAACAAGGTTGTGCCCAATGGAACGCTTATGGGATTAGATGGCGCCATCCCAGGAGTTTTGTAAGATGATGGGTCAGCCTTTTGGAGGGGCTGGCTCATCAAATGAGTCAACTATTTATGGTCGGCCAATAGCGTCTGTCCTACCGCCGGATTAGAATAATGGTGTTTTGGGAATACTTGTGTGTATTCTATATAGAATACGTGTCAAAGCAAAAGTAAATAGGCTTTTGTCATGCTATTACAGTGCGATTTACCATCTAGAGCCTTGTCACAACTTATCACCAGATCGTAATCAAACACTGGGTTTTAATAGATAAAAAACGAAGCATTCCAACTTAATCTTCAGAGGTGACGACGCATTTGCATTTTGATTCTTAATTGGGGATAAATGTACATTTCTATGGGTCATAGCATCCACTTATCATCCGGTGAACTGTGCCCTCTTTTGTACCCTTATTCTATAAAAAAAAGTTTAGCGATTTATCTGATGTGAATCAGCTTGGTCAGTTGCTTAGCATTTGACTGCGGTGCTGTGGGGCTACGAATTCGAATCTTGAATCTAAGTGTTTGTATACCCTACAAACAATTATTCTAGTCTTTCTAGACTGGTTAAATGTTTGACGCCTTTTGAAAGCCGCCACGGTATGTTCACGAGATTTAATTTACCGTGGAATATCTTTAAAGAAAGGTGACCAAAGATATCCAGTGATGCGATGACATATAGTTCGGCTTATATTTTTTGACGAGTCTATAAGCTAGTATAATATGTTCATTATTATACTAGCTTATAGACATATCATATCAGTATTGTACAGCTTGGCCGCAGCGCTATTTTTCTGTCAGTTTGACTGACTCTAATGCACAAACTTTCTATCGTGTAATCGTTTTATATATATATATATATATATATATATATATATATATATATATATATATATATATATATATATATATTTACGTTGCAATACAGCAAACATCCAGAGTCGAAGCAATTTTCGTAGGGCATATGAAGAGCTGTTCCAGGCGGGATACGAATCTGCTATTTGCGTTAGTCACAGAGCTACAGAGCTGTCCGAATTTGAAATTTAAAAAATAAAATAATCACCGTATAGTGGCGGTGTAAGAATATACACTACCACATATCATACCACGGGTGTCATAAAAGGCGAAAGAGGGAGAAAAACCAGATGGACAACAGCGTCATCCTAATGACAGCCAAAAAAAATAATTAAAAAAATCAGTGGCTACCAATCCCGTCTGCAAAGCGTGGCAGATATGGGCAAATAATTGCTATATTTGCTCTACTATGAGACTAATCTAAATAACCTATATCTAAATAAAATATGTATTTGACACTACCATATATTTTTTTGCTTTTCAATTTAGAACAAAATGGAAGAGACAGAATCAACTGCGACTCGAGCAGCTACGCGCTCAGGCGGCGAGTGGCGAAAGGGAGTTATCCGCGCACGCACTACCGCTGGCCTGCGCTCTGCTACCCCCTTACCCGGCGTATATGCATTGCCATTTGTAAAGTTATTTACACACACCACAACCTAACATTTAATGTACTCCTGGTACCGCCGTTGACCTGCTGTTCAGTGTTCACCTATTTACTACACACACGCACTGCCATTGTTTATTCAGGATAGCGTTGGGGAGGATTCTGAAGTCAAAGGATGTAGATATAAACACAACGACTCAACATTTCATTATATTAAATGTTTGTCACTGTCATCAATTTTTTCGCTTCCTTATGGTAAATTATAATTAAATTGAACACTATATTCTTCTTGCTTACTAGTATAAAAATAAGAGTGTGACGGAATTAAATAACTTCTGGTAAAGTATTTCATATATTTAGCATATCAAACTGATTAGCTTATCTAACCAACGAATACCCCTGTGTTTGCATTTCATAATCTTATAAAGAAACCTAGTCAGTACAATAACCTATTACATACAATAATATTTAATAACACCGGAAGTCATGTGAATGTTCGGATAAAAATTATTTAACAGGAAATAGAGGCATAACCAATGAAATATGAAACGCTTACAAATTCATGTGCTCCTGGTCAATCTGCACCGCTGCTGACCTGATCACCTGCTTACTACTTATCATGCACTTGGAATTTACTCGATCGTCGTGGGAACCTATTAGATTTTGTAGATTAGTTGATAGGAGGAGAAAAAGTTATATAATATTTCCCCTTCCAGTGGTGGGGGATGCGTCCACTGATTTTCAAAAATATATAATTACATGGTAATACTTATGGGGACACGCCTATGTGACAAGATATTTAACAGAAAAAGAATATTCAATATAGATTATAAATAATACTTATTGAAAGTCACTTTTTTTACCTAAGCACTGGTTCGGAAAAAACCTCTGTCCTGGGCAAATCTTGCAAGAAACCCAGCGGGACTTAAAAAAAAACATCTTACAATCTTAAATGTTACAATTAACAACAGATTACAAATTAGAAATAGCTTGGTAGCGACCACCCTTCCCAGGGGTTATTATCATCCATAAATTCCTTAATATTATAATAACCCTTTTTATACAAACTAAGTTTGATTAAAACTACTTTTACGAATTTTATCGCGTTTAATTTTATTTGATTTTTAATTCCTGACTTTTCGGGTGCTTTCCAGCACCCATGGTCACGGGGGACTGAGGTGACTGACGTTCCGATGTCAATGTTAACCCGGAGTACCTTTTTAATTATTGTTTATGGTCCGATCTATGCAGAATGAACTTACTCTGTCTTGAAGTCTTGCAGTGGTATGCTTGGGTTTAGTTTTAATTTTATTAATTACAGGGTCCCAAGCAGGTGGTAGTACCCAGCCTCCTTCTCTATTGAAATTAGGATGTTTTTTAATTTCAATAGCCTCACGTATCATTCTTGGTAGGAATTGATGTTCTTCCTCGAGGATTTGTGGTTGGGGCCGCCTAAGATATGAACACAAACAACTGACTTCCCGGAACGTTGATGCTTCACGTCAGCTATGTGTTCTTTTACGCGGGTTCTAATTGATCTTTTTGTTTGCCCTATGTATGAGAGACCACATTCACAATCAAGCTTGTACACTTCTGCATCCTGTAGAGGAATATGACACTTGACTGATGGTAGGAACTGACTAATCTTCTTCGGCGGCTTGTAGAATGTTCTAATGGAAGCTCGCTTCAAGATGTAGCCAATCTTGTCTGTGACACCTCTGACATATGGTAGTACAGCAGGCACACGCTCTACTGTGGCCGGCTTCACTCTAGGCTTCACTTTAGGGGGTGTCTCTGATATTGAAGGCATATTTATTTTATTTGCTGACTTGCGTGGTAGGGGTGTCCATCCGGAAGGGTTGAAAATAAAAAAAAATAAAAATAATTCCAGTGCGTCAGATATACAAAGGTTAAGTGAATTCTAAAAATGCTCCTGACGATTCGGAAGTGACGCAAGCTCGTAGTGAATTTTTGAAATGCTCGAACGATGGTCTAGTTATGGTAATAACATTAATATCTGACGGTGATTTTGGGGGATATTAATAATCTACCTGCTAGAAAAAATGATGTATATTTTATGAACTTTTTTCCTCAATTACCAAAAAAATATGGCGAATAAAAGTATCAAAAATTATCTAAATATTTAAAATTGTAATTTAATTTGGAAATGATATAAAAATGAAACATTCTGTTGCAAATAATTTGTTTAATCTTCGTCTTCATCCAAATAATTATCATTCTCCAAATCTAATTCAATTTTGGATATACAATATTATCTGCAGTTTCAGCATCTGTAAGAAGTAATCGTTATGAAAGTTAACAATATTTTATTTATTTTATGAAAATGTTATGAAATTCTTAAAAAAAAAAACCTAAATCTGGAGTTTTACCAAGAATAGCTGGTGTTATAACAACATATTTATATGCATCAGTAATTGATTGCTAGTGAACCAAGTGATTTCAAATTTCCCATCGCCATTTGTCCATCCGTAGTCGCTGTTCAAAATCTATTGGTGACATGTTACAAATAGTTTTATTGTGTGCATTCCTCCACAAGCGCGCAATATATTTCATTCGCGTAAGTGTTGCCGTAGTTTGATTGTCAAGATAAACTAATTTTTTATTGGACAAACCGGATTTGAACCCAGAATCCCACGATCGGTAGTTGCACTACTACAACCACTAGACCAACGAGATAGTAAGTCGTGTATATACTGTATAGTAATAACATGAACGCCTTGTTTTGTGATCAGCTGTGATGGCGGACAGCAGTGTGTGGATGGCGTGAGATAGGGAAAAAGTGAAAGGGAGAGAGAGGCGCGTAGTGGGGTATACATGCTTTACTCCAGCTGTCCACTCTCATCTTCATAGACGATTTTTAGTATTTCGGCTTGTGGAAATCGGCAGATCAATTTTTTTGGTTATTTTTGCATTATTTCCTTCAAAATAAAACATACAAATTCAGCCATGCTCGAGAAGGTCAAGACAACGATTTTTTTGCCAATTTGTAACCCTATTACTTCCTTACGTTACGCTCGAATCGTAGATTTTCTAAATGCACTCTTTTTATCTCAAAATCCAACCTCTACCGATTTAGTATTTCTGACGGTTGATTTTTTTTACTAATCTAATGGGCCATCCTAGACGCACGGTCCTATATAAAGGGCTTATATATTGTAAAGATACTCAGCAGAATTCCGGGTCCTTCCTTATGTCAATCTACCACGCTTGAGTAAATCCAAAAATCCCTTCTCGGGACCTACACGGTCCTAAGGACGTAAAGTCATTTATACACACAAAAACCCAATTTCATGTACTTCTGATCAATTCGTACCGCCGCTGGCCTGCTGACTTAACTACCTACTCGGCGTACATCCACTACCGTGAGTGAAATTTCGAATATTGTTATGGAGGATTCTAGATTGAAGGACGCAAAATGAATTAGAATCACCACTACTCTACATTTCATGTCTTCCTGATCGATGTGACAGCGGTAAAGGTAGAGTTAATATATAGGTAGACGAGAAGAATATTATATATATATATATATATATATATATATATATATATATATATATATATATATATATATATATATATATATATATATATAAACACTCACGCCTGTCACCCAGAGGGGTAGGCAGAGACTACGGACTTCCATTTGGCACGATCCTGACATACCTCTTTCGCCTCCTTTACATCCATATATCTACGCATACATGCTCGTCGGTTAAGGGTACTTCTAACGTGGCCCATTTTCAAAATATCGCCAATTTGGTCGATAAACTTTTTCCTAGGGCGTCCCTTCCCGACTCGGCCATTCACATCTGCCATATAAATTTGCTTTGTCACTCTTTCCTCATTCATTCTTTCTACGTGACCAAACCATCGAAGCATTCCTTTCTTAATCTTGGTCACAACATCATCTTGCATACCACATTTATCTCTTATCACGCAATTTCTCACCCTGTCATTCAGATTACACCCTAGCATATTCCTTAAAGACCGCATTTCTACAGCATTTATTTTACTTTCGTGCTTCTTCTGCCACACCCAGCTTTCACTACCATACATTAAAGTAGGGACTAACACAGCATTATGAATTCCCATACGTGCCTGTTTTGACAAATTCTGGTTCTTCATAATAGAGTGTAGTGCCCCATTCACTCTATTCCCTGCATTTACTCGTCGTTCTATATCCCTATCATATCTACCATCCCTGCTAAATACAAATCCCAAATACACAAACTCATCCACTTGCTCAATCAACTCTCCTTCTATTCTTATTTCACATACCGTTTTACTTTCTTCTCTTTCAAAAACCATCACTTTCGTCTTACTTGCGTTCACTTTCATTCCCCTTTCTTTTAATTCCCAGTTCATTAATGTAACCATCATTTGCAACTCTGCCGCCGATGACGCAAGTATGACTTGATCATCGGCATACAAAAGGCATTTGACGGTTAACTCGCCCATTCTTAACCCACATTCTTCATCTTTCAAAGTTTGCAAACACCGGTCCATAAATAGGTTGAACAGCCAAGGGGAAGCCACACAGCCCTGTCTGACACCTTTTTGGATGCCAAACCAGTCCGAGTAGACCCCATTGATCCTGACACAAGCACTAGAGTCCCTATAAAGAGACCTTAATGCCTGTATCAAACCAGCGCTCAACCCATATGAGTTCAGTGTTTGCCATAACACATTCCTGTCCACTCTGTCATAAGCCTTTTCCAAGTCCATGAACGCACAAAAAACTTTCTGGTTTTTGGCCAAAAACTTCTCCGCAATCATGCGCATGGAGAAGACTTGATCTGTACACCCCATTCCCTTTCTAAAACCCGCTTGCACATCCCAAATTTTTCCATCAGTTTCTTTCATAACTCTTTCAATTAACACCTTAGCATACAGTTTACCCACAATACTAAGCAAGCTGATACCGCGGTAGTTTTTGCAGTCCTGCTGTGACCCTTTTCCTTTATATATTGGTACTATAACTGCTTTACACCAGTCATCCGGTACCCGTT